GGGGGCCACTACAATACAGAAAGCCCCATTTCACCAGCACCCACTCTCCCAATACAAACAACATAATCCTAATCCTCTCTCCAGAGTACCTGTTAAATTACTTCCAGACTTTTTCTATGCACTTACATGGTATATATAAAAATCCATAAATTTTTTTTTTTTTGCTTTTTTTACAGAAATGAAACTAAACCTTATACACAATGTTTTGTAACTCACTTTCTCATTCACTTCTCAATCCAACACTGTGGCAAAGTACTAATGACTTTCTACCATTTTAACCAACATTCCCTGACTTCTGCTGCATTTGACACTTGGTCATTTCCTCTGGAATCTGCTTCTGCTAGATTTCATGACCCTGTACTGTCCCAGGTCTCTTTTCCTCTTTGATTCTTCCTTGCTAGTGTCTTCTCCTGGTTACTTTCCCACTGTCTGCCCCATGAACATAGGTGTTCACCATCATCATGTCCAAGGCTTTCTTTTCTGTCCGTATTCATTCAAAGAACCATCACTACCTACTTCATTACAGAAGGCAACTCCGTCAAATGCCCTTTGTCAATGGTTCTGCATCTGAACCAATGCTTCAAAATCATCTGCCAATTAAAAGCTTGCATTTTGGGTATGATATGTAATTTCACCTTGCAATTAATTTGAACTATATTACAGTCAGCAAGTCCCTATGCCAAAGCAGAACGGGGATAAATGGGGAAGAAGGCTTGGGAAGGAATTGTTTCAAGTGGTAACTTATGAATAAATATTTTCATGTTATGAAAATGTTTGCTTCTCTACACAACCTCATAATTCCAAAAACTCAGATAATGAACTCTCAGATAACAAGCACTCCGTGAATATGTTAATAGTTCCCAAATCTCTAACCCAGGTCACTGTCTCCTGAGCCGCTAAGCTGTAAAATCCCTACTCAATCTAATTTCACCGTCTTGGTAAAGCCTTTCTGCACCACCCTTAAATAACAAGTTTCCCATCAGCAGCATCTACCCCAAGGGCCCATCCACTTGTCTATTAAAAAATCTCTGACACTGAATGGCCTTCCTTTACATTTAAGACAAAGTCAAAGGCCTTCTAAAAAAAAAAAAAAACGATTGCTTAAAATGCATGTAGGGAGAGGATGTGAAGGAGGACAAAGAAGAGAAGTGAGGAGGGGGCCAGTATAATGTAAGAGGGAGTGGTGGGGTTTGTCACCATTTAAAAGAAAGCATGAATAGGAGTTGGTCAGGTGAAAAAATGTTTACCTAACCTTTCTCTTCTTTCCTTTTTTATTTGGGGGGCGGGGGGATTCCAGACAGAAGAGCACAACAGGGTTTGTGCCTTTGTGTGTCACTGGGAGAGAGGGTGGTTGGTGTTAGTGAGGAACATAAAATGGTAGGAAGATGCCAGAATTTTAGGAGCAACAATTTTAGGTTTATTACAATTTTTCTCTCCCTCTATACGTGATAATTATCTGCTTACGGTATTAGGCCAGGCTTGTTAAAAATCACTTTCCATCTTATATCTAGATTTAAATGACACATTTTTCTAAATTATTTTTCAGAAACAAGACACTACCAATGCACTTGGTCTTACAGTAAAAAAAAAAAAAAATAGTTCAACAGTATCACCATGATCATGCAAAAAGTTTTCCAAACGTCTTCTATGGACCGGAGAACTCTGTAAACGAAAAATGTACATTGTTCTTTTCTCTAGATAATCAAAGTACTTTCAAACTTGTCTTCATTTTAATCTCACATACTACTGAGAGAAGAAAAGGCTAACAATGACTGTCTTATGGGCTAGTAAGAGACATTAGTGATTTCCTCCATTCTACGATGCATGTTTTTCACATTAAGATTTTTTTTAAATATTAGGATGGATCTCACACTACTGATTTACAATCATCTTGAGGGCAGCTACGTTAAATGTATCTTACAACTTTGGGCATACTTAGAATTAAGAACTATTGTAAAGCACTCTGGCCGATGTCAAAAGCAAGAAAGTAGCAGAATTGGACTTAAAAAAAAAAATCTGCTGTCAAGTTATTAAAGCAAACTAATAGAAATTTAATGGCCAATTTGGCTACTCTTTTATTAATTTAATTAAATATATAGTGCCTACCTTCTACTAGGCTCTTACTGAAATACAATTTCTGTCTTCAAGAAGAATATAACCGAGTCTAGATGCTTACACAAATACCAACAGAACAAAATAGTCAGGGATTAACACCAGAAGAATGATACAAAGTGAGATACATGAATCCAGATAAGGAGGAGTCACTTCCAGCCAAGATAACAGGAAAATCCTGACACATCATAACAACTTAATAAGTGCTGACTCTGAAGATATATGAAGACCTGGGTTAGACTCTGAAGGACTGATAAAATTTCCACAGGGAGAGACTGTGGTAGAAACGCACTCCAAGTAGAAGGAGCTGCAGGGACCAGGAAAAAGAACAGGCCCTGAACAGCCCATGACCCATGGGCCTCACTGGCAGAAGTAAATGGGGAACAGTGAATACGAAAGAAGGCTAAACCAAAAACTAAACCAAGTGCTGTTGAGTTGATTGTGACTCACAGTGACACTACAGGATAGAGCAGAACTGCCCCACAGGGTTTCCAAGGAGCTCCTGGTGGATTCGAACTGCTGACCTTTCAGGTAGCAGCCATAGTTCTTAACCACTGCACCACCAGGGTTTCCAAAGGAGGCTAGAAGAAACCAAAATAGAGTTCCTTGAAAGGACAAACTAAAGAATACAAGCAGAGGAGTAGCCTCCTGACAGAACGTGTTTCAGGAAGGTGAATTTGACGGTCAACTATACCAGCCGAACTGAAGTGGGGAGAAAAAACACAGTCTAAAACCAAACCCACTGCGGTCGAGTCGATTCCGACTCATAACGACCCTACAGGACACAGCAGAACTGCCCCATAGGGTTTCCAAGGCTGAAATTTTTACAGAAGCAGACTGTCATCTCCTTCTCCTGTGGAGCAGCTGGTGGGTTCAAAGCGCCGACCTTTCGGTTAGCAGCCCAGTGCTCTAACCACGAACCACAAGGGCTCCTTATACAGTCTAGTCAAATATTCACTGCCTGAACAAGACAGTAACAATAGCAATGGCAAGAAAGGAGAGTCTTCCCTTTTGAACTGCCTGGGGATTGTTTTGGATGAGGGCAAATTCCAAAAGAAGAGCCCACCAGCCTGTTTACATTTGTAGCCTCACTACTCCCACTTTATTGGTGTTTAGTAAATAGTAAGTAAGCTAAAAGAAAGCAATCTGCAAAGTCTAAGTTGAATCTTTACTAAGATAGTACAGTGGCCATACCACTTCTCTCTCTACTTCTCAAACTCACTCATTTCACAGTTCATGTGAATTCCCTCTCCAATTTCTTTTTTACAACCTAAATCAAATTTTGCCAGAAGGCTTTAGAAGCACCCTTCTTTCTTCCAAATATGTCACAGCAGTCTAATTATATAAATCTGCTACTAAAGAAAACATCTGCAAAACCCTGCTTTACCAGTGCCAGGAGCAGAGTGCATTCTTTGGACCTGAGGTTCCTGTGCTGAGATGGTCCCAGACCAAGGGAAGACTGATGACAAGGACCTTCCTCCAGAGCCAACAGAGAGAGAAAGTTTTCCCCTGGAGCCAGCACCCTGAATTTGGACTTCTAGCCTACTGGACTGTGAGAGAATAAACTTCTCTTTGTTAAAGCCAAAAAAAAAAAAAAAAAAAAAAACCCTGCTTTACCCAGGATTTTACCTAGAAAACATTCAGTTTCTACATATATGCCAAAAAAACCTTGCTAAATAACCATATCTGTAGAGAAAGTTTTCCTTTTATGCAGCAATCAATGCGCTTCTTGCGTTACTGACAGAACCTGCTACATCATTAGTGCAACCACAAGATGCTGCTTCCATTTCCAAAGTTGTGCAAAGGGTCCCAAGTTGTGCCAGAGTCACCACTGTAACGACACTCTGGTATATTAATAGTTGTTTAACACCTGAACAACCCTTACCTTTATTATTAGACTTAAAACAATGCCGAAAATCACAGGTATTAAAAGACACTTCACAATGAATTTTTCTTTCCCTGTCTGTGAAATATACTAGCATGTTAATTTAGGTAACAGTAATTCTTCCTGCTTCAAATGGACATTAGATCACCTAAAAATTAGCGGTTGTGACCCTGGACTTGATTTACGTAAAAAAAAAAAAAAAAAAATCACAGTATCCCCAGGAAACAATTAGTTTGTCAGAACTTAAAAATAAAACACACACACACACACAGAGAACACTGAACGGCCTTGCATTACTATCAAATCACCTCAGTTTACACCTGGCAAAGTCGTCAGAACTCTTTCATCCTTTAATGACCTCAAAAGGGATTCCCCAGACGTCATGTAATGAGATGTGACTTATTCTGTCTTGGGTGAGTTGAAAGTGTTAAAAAATATCAATAATAATATATAAAAAGGTTTCCTTCTCTCCTTCTAAGCCGACCGTCCCACACCACGCAGGGCGCGCTTTGCCAAGGCCTTGGCTGGTTCTTGCAGGTCAGAGAAGGTGGAACTGGTCAGGAAATCTAAGGATGTCCCCATCACCTTCTGCTCTCCTCTGCCTTCCTCTTTCTCGGGAGCCGCGAAGACAGCCAAGGAGAGGGGGCCAGCTGTGGGCGTACAGTCACCTGGGTCGGGCCCTCACGGCCCCCGCCTGGGCCCCGCCTGTCATAACCTGCCCAGATACGGCTTCGCAAACCGCTGCCGCGGCCCCAGCTGTAGGGTTGGGGGTGGCGGCGCCCCTGGGGCGGGGGCCCGCGGACCGGGCCTGGACAGGCCGCGGCCGCTCGCAGTGCCCACGTCACCAGCTCCAGCACTGCGGAAATGAAGCGGCGCGGCAGGGAGGGAGGAGGGAGGGAGGCGCCGCGCGGCGTCGGCGCCGGCCCGCCGCCAGATGCCGATTCTCCGTCAGCCCGGGCCCGGAGGCCGCTGACAGCCGCCTGCCTGAGCCCCGGACCCTCACCTGTGTCGCCGATGATGATGTACTTGAAGAGATAGGCGTACGCCATGGCCGCGGCCGCTCGGTGCCAGGGCACACGGCTCCTCCTCCTGCTACTGCTCCTCCTCCGCACACCTCACCCCGGCGCCGCTCCCCCTCAAAACGCCAGGTCCCGCCTGCAGCCGCCGCCGTCAGCTACCAAGAGTGACGAGCCGAAAAGAAGTGGGACAAACTGACACCGGGAGAGCCGAGGTGAGACAGCGCCCGGCCGAGCCCAGCCGAACAATAACAGCCGCCGCGGCACCTCCGCCCCGCCTCCGCGCCGACCCGGAAGTGCTGCTATCGCCGGCGCCGCCGGAAGAAAGGGGCGGAGCCCCGCACGCCGGCCGCGCCCGGCCAGAGCCCTGCGAGCCCGGAGGCCCGCCCAGCCAGGGCCCCGCCCTGCCGCAGCCCGCCCAGCGTCTATCCGGCCACGCCTGTCCGCCCCGCGCCGGGCCGGGCCCGGCTGCGGTCGTTCCAGCACGTTTGAGCCGGAGACCCCGGCGCCCGGGAGACGCTGGGGGAGCAGACGGGCGTTCGGTTCCCCCGCCGCCACGCGCGCGGGCGCCGCGTGTTTCCGCCGAACGGTGGGGGCGCGTGGCTCGCGGTGGGAAGGCGGAGGTGGTGTTCCGTGCAGGCCCCGCCCAGGCCTGGTGAAGTGTTTGAAAATGTGGGAGCCACACGGCAGGGGGGATGGGGAGGTGGTGTCTTCATTGTTTGAGGAGGAAACGTTGACAGTGAAAATGGAAATATTTGTAAAATGGAAACCGTAAATCGGGGCTCTGTGGAGTGCTACGCTGCTCCTAATTTTAAGAAATGAAGCCCGTCTTTATGTTAAGTGAAAACAGGGTATGGAAATCTATGCATAATTTTTTCCCCAATATGGAAAAACTGAGAAGAATACACTTAAATACCCATGTGTGCACAGTCAGTCTCTGGACAGGATGGGACTGGGAGAAAGACCTGTGTTCCACTGAAAATGTGTGTGTGTGTGTAGTTTGATATTTTTCAGTGTTCATGAAATAACTGTTGAAAAATACTTTTAAGGGAAAAACAAAGTAACGTTTTTATTCATTCAGTCAACATTTATTGAGTACATACTATGTCAGGTACTGACTGCTAAACATTGCAAATAGAGGCTGACCTTGTTCTAAAGAAACACGGATTTGGGAAGAGGAGGTAGACGGTGTACCCTGGGGTTTCAGGAAAGGTAACCTGGAGAAGATGTCTCATATGAATAACGAATATGATTGATGAGTAAGAGTATGTCAAATGTACAAAAGTTAGGAGAAGGGAATCGAAGTCAAGGCACAAGGAACAGAATGTGCAAAGTTCATGGAACTGTTAGGAAGAATTTGAAATTGCGTAAGAAAGCTAATTTACTCATATTCTCTAAAGTTTGGGAGTGGAAGGAGAATCGTTGCTGGGGGAGAGGTGACTGCGCCTTAATTCCTGTTGCCCAATTATTATCCTCTCCCTTTTGGAATTGCTTACTATATCCCTGGTGGCATGATGGTTAAGAGCTCGGCTGCTAACCAAAAGGTCAGCAATTCAAATCCACCAGCCACTCTTTGGAAACCTTATGGGGCAGTTCTGCTGTGTCCTATAGGGTCACTGTGAGTTGGAATTGACTGAAGAGTACACAGCAACAATGGACACCATCATGCTAGGCTGGCTGTGGTTGGTGACCTTGCCAAATGTGAACTCAAGTATTTTTCTGGAATATTTGCAGGAAATTTTACTAAAGACTCAGGGATAATTCATAAGAAATTGACATGAAGAGTGACCTGGAATTGCGTAAATCATCTTTAGTTTGTGGTAGAGGTAGGGTCCCTGCCCAAGGCCTCTGTCTTGTCCTTCCTGTCTTTCCTGGGTGATGTTGTTGTTAGGTGCCATTGAGTTGGTCACGACCCGTAGCGACCCTACGTACAACAGAACAAAACACTGCCTGGTCCTGTGCCATCCTCACAGTCATTGCTATGTTTGACCCCATTGTTGCAGCCACTGTGTTAATCCATCTTGTTGAAGGTCTTCCTTTTTCGCTGACTCTCTGCTTCAGCATGATTCTCCAGGGACTGGTCCTCCCTGATAACATGTCCAAAGTATGTGAGACAAAGTCTCATCATCCTCGCTTCTAAGGAGCATTCTGGCTATACTTCTAAGACAGATTTGTTCGTTCTTCAATACTCTTTGCCAATACCATAATTCAAATGTGTCAGTTCTTCTTTGGTCTTCCTTGGTGATAGACATCTAGAATATCCCCTCTCTAGGAAAAACTCAAGTCCTTACAGGAGTGTACCTTTACCGGTAGTCTCAACTGGACAATGCTATCAGGATATCACACATCTTTATAAGTCAGGGGCATACCCATGCTGTTAGAGGAATTATGTAAGTCGATGGACAATCAGCTTGTACCAGGTCAGTCAGGGTCTTGTATGCCTTGCTAAGCATAGAGAACTACCCACTAGACACAAAGGAACTTTAAAGAGGAAGATAGTAAGAATTCGATATGTAAAAAAATCACACAAATAAATATAGAAATATAGAGGCAAGGCGGTATAAAGAAAATAACTAGAAAAACCTAGATTCTGGTCTTGGCCCCAGCACCATTGAACTGGATGATTGTGACAAATTATTTGGCCTTTCAGAACTTCAGTGCACCCACCTATCAAGTGAAGGAGTGGGTGATGCTGAAAAGGCAATTCAAATCCTAAGGTCTATAATTCTGTACCTGTCCAAGGTCCAGACTCAAAGCCACCTGAAAGAAGGTGGTAACCCTTCTCTCATGCAATTGTGAGAACTATGGGAGTAAGAAATACACTCTTCTTGCACAGAACTGAAATGCATTGCTTACTTTTGCCCAGTGCCTTAGGCTGGGTTCTCTAGAGAGGCAAAACCAGCAAAGCGTATTAATACCTATATAAAGAGATTTATGTCAAGGAAATTGCTCACATGGTTGTAGAGGCTGGAATATCCCAAATCCATAATTCAGGCTGGAGGCGTCTCCTGATTCATGTAGCTGCAGGCTGTGAAAACTGACAAATCCCAAGACCACAGGCAAGCTGCTAGCTCAAGTCTCAAGAACCAGAGGTCAGACAAACAGGAGCCAGCTGCAGGATACAGAGCAAGCGAAAGCCTACAAGCCTTGCCAGAATGTCCACTTATATTCGATGCAGGCCACACACCCAAGGAAACTCCTTTTCAACTGACTCGCTACTCACAGCAGATCCCATCATGGAGGTGATCACATTATATCAGATCTCATCATGGAGGTGATTACATCATCATACCACTGCTAAACTACATCATAACTGCCAAACCACTGAGAATCCTGGCCCAGCCAAGTTGACACACAACCTTGACCATCACAGTGAATGGTAATGACCAGTTGCTGCAGAGCAATGTAATCTAATGAAAGCATGGACTTGACTTTCAAGACCTTCTGAGCCTCAGTTTCCCTACATGGAAAATGTGGATAATAACTGCCTCAGAGTCATTTTAGGATCAAATGAGATAATATATGTGAAAATAGTTTCTAAATTATGAAAGATATATACTCAACACATAAAACTAATTTTGCGTAGTTTTAGAAATTAAGGAAGTGAAGGCCTAGTTACTATATAAGTACATTTTTTAAAATTAGCTCAGTTCTTGGCTCTATTTTATCTCTACCCTTTTTTTCCTACACAAAATTCATAGTATTTTGTTACATTTTCTCTAGACTTGTTAAGCTGTCTTAAGTCCTCTATGAAACAATAAAAATCACATAAACCTCATTTTAAACATTTTATTTAGCCCAGAAAATCCAAAAACATTTCTCAAGAAAAATTCCTCAGGCAAAATGACAGAAATAAACCACTCTTCCCTCAAGTGGTAGTATACGTCCTCGGATTTTTCCATTCCGTTTGATTTTCAGCTGTTTCACTTTCTTGGGAATGAATTCCGATAACCTCATCTCTCAGTCTTACATCATGCATGGTCTGAAGGTCATAGCCATGAAATTTTAAGATTGCAAGACTATATTCTCTCGAAAATCTCTTTATTCAAGTTCTCTGTGGTATTTGGAAGTACGGTACTATATTGGCATTTTGCATTTACTGCTCCCAAGCAAACTTTTCATATGTTTACATTTTCTCTGGTTTGGGTTGCTCTCAGATTGGGGGAAGGAGGTAGGGTGGGGTGGGATGGGAGGAGAGTGGCTTGGAATACTGTACTACAGAGGTTGTCACCTAGGTTCTCTTGGCTCCTTAACCTTGAAATGCGCTCTGGGGGCTTTGTGAGCCTCGTGAAATGTGTGTGTATGTGCATTTTTTGTGGGAGAGATTCTTATCCATGACCAGAAATAATTAAGAACCACTGTGAAATGCTTTCTTTCAGTCATTTCTAAATGCCATAACAGAACTAATTTTCCAGCAAATACTTGATAAGCTCAATATGAGTTTTAGAGGCAGGAAGGGTTCAAATCCTGACTTAACCACCTATCAGCTGAGTGAACTTGGGTAAATTACTAACCTTTCTAAGCCTTAGTTTCCCCCATAAGATGACATATGTAAAGTGGCTGTCACAATGCCAAGCACATAATAGACACTGAACAAACACTGAAGTAACTGCTTCTTCCCTTCATCGTCTCCCTGTCCTCTACTCCCAACCTGTCACTGCACCATCGGAGTTAAATGAGCCCAGCAAGGAGGTTATAGTCTCCTTGTACTAAGTCAAGTACTTGAGTAGCTTTGGCCTGGTGAGGGCCACAGAGGAGGTACTGTGTTATTTCAGAAAGAATTTCATTCTGGGAAATGAGGGAAGTTTTCACAGAGGAGAGCCATTTAAGCTGAGCCTTAAAGGGCATTATCTTTGATAGTTACTACTCGAACCTAGTCATTCCAGGGTATAGCACTTTGGTGATTCATCAGTCCAGTCCGTTGTACTTTGCTTTTCTCGTCCACCTGCCATTTCTATTCTGGTTAGGTAACATACTCAATGTTCCCGATTTTACTTCTCTGTCCCTGACCTATTTCTGACCCTTTGTCCAAGCCAGAAATAACTGTTTTCTCTCTTCCACACCATTGTTATCCTTCGGAAACTTACTTGAAGAGTGAAAAGTAATGATCTCAGATTCACATCCTTCAGTGTGTGTGTAGGTGGGCGAAGAAACTTTCTTTTATATATGGGTGGTTCTTTTTACCAAAGGACTGATCATGAGTAATAAGAGAGGGCCTGCATTCCCTTGTGCATGGGGTTGCCATGAGTCAGGGATGACTCTGGTTGCCACTACCGCCACCACCATAAGTACATGAACCTGTGAAATGGTGAATATTGCAATAATAA